AGGAAGTTCCAGCTGAACACGAGGAAGAACTTCTTCCCTCTGAGGGTGACGGAGCCCTGGCCCAGGCTGCCCAGGGAGGCTGTGGAGTCTCCTTCTCTGGAGATATTCAAGCCCCGCCTGGACGCGGTGCTGTGCAGCCTGCTGTGGGTGACCCTGCTTGGGCAGGGGTTTGGACTGGGTGACCCAAAGTGGTCCCTTCCAACCCCTGCCATTCTGGGATTCTGTGAGCTACACCAATCCTGTGGGAGAAGGAAAGGCAGGGACCATAGTCTTGCTCCACGTGCTCCTAGAAACCTGACAGTGCTGAGATGGGCCACGTCTTAAACTAGTTATCGCTAAGAACAAAAGAATTCTTCAGATCTACTGAGTATTCAACTTTTCCTGAAAGACTCTGAAGACAAATGACTGTGGTAGGCTTGGCAAACCTACCAGAAGGGCCTCAAGGATGGGCAGTGGTGTGCAAAGTTCCCTTCTGCAGAGAAGAGGGAGCTTCACTGGGAAAGGGATGCTGGAAGAGCAAGACAGCGGAGGTTTATCATATGGGGAAGGCAAGCTCTGCATCATTATTTGGTATTTTTCCCCTATAAAAAACTGAGAGCCACCTGTTAAAGCAAATAAACAAGGAAAAAGGAGTTTTCTCACTAGTGCCCAGCCAAATGGGGAAACTCGCTGCTTTAAGGTACGCGAAGACCAAACGCGAACAGATTTAAAAGGAACTGGACAGATTCACGAGGAAGAAAACCCACCAAACACCAGCAGCAGACCGCAGGCCTGCGGAGGGAGAAGCATCGGCACCGGGGCTCTGGGCTGCCTGCCGCCCCGGCTCCAGCGCTCCTGGGCTGGGGGGCTGCGGGACGCAGGAGAACGGGGGCGAGGGAAGGTGGTTACGGCACCTTCGGCGTGGGAGACCAAGCTAAACCCAAGCAGAGATCTGCTGAAAGCATTCATGTCGTGAAAACAGCGGTGATTACTTAAATATAGCTAACTTTTTCACAGAATGGTAGAATCACAGAATGGTAGGGGTTGGAAGGGACCTCTGTGGGTCATCTCGTCCAACCCCCCGTCATCTAGTCCAACCCCCCAAATTTTTAAATGTATGTTATTATTTCTTACATCACTAGCTGTTTTACACATAAATTAGTATTTGCTTTAGCTATCGCTTTGTCAGGGACATGACTGAAAAATGTAGGTGACTAAGAAAACCTTGTATTTGAAGGAAGAACAGAAAAATAGGGTCTCAAGAAGAAACCCAGCAAGGAGCATCTGCTGCAAGAGCCCAAAGATTTCGGGAGAAATGGGACAAAACAAACATCATCCTGGGACTGGGCACCACAGAAGTAAGAACCAGCCCTCAAACGTGGGAAAAGATAACCCAGGGTATCACTACAGGGAAAGGTGATGCACAGTGCTGCTTCACGCAGGGAATGGCTATGGAATGCAACCAACGGTTTGGGTTAATACCGTAGAGTCTTTGGTCCATCGCTTTCCAATTTTTCCAATTTCCAAACACAACTGAACTACAGCCCGAGCAGGGACAGGCTGAGCCAACAGCTTCCACGGGCACTACAACTGTCAGCTCTGAACCATCGGGATATCAACCCGAGCTCTGAAAAGCACCCAGAACGGAAGAAAACCCACCTGAGAAGCAAGAACTATTTGAACGAGGCTGGGACGCGCACGGCGACGACTGATGCAGACAGGCAGAGCCCGCTCCTGGCCCGAGCGGCCGGCCGGGGGGGGGGGGAGGCGCCGCCAGCATCAAATTTGTCACCCCGCACCCAGGAGCGAGCTGATGAGCCCCACGGACGGCGCTCCCGCAGCAGCACTGTAGATCTTCCCAGCAGGGACGTTCGCAAGGTGACCTGCGAGGCTGTGCCGAACCCTGGCTGAACGAAGTCTGAAAGAACTTCAGGGTCATCACGGCACAGCCTCAGACTGTCTAGAGCCTCGCTCTTCACCTCGGGGTAAAACTGGTCCTTGGGTGTTTCTGCTAGAAGGCAGAGCAGATACTGATCCTACCTAAACAGAAGGCTTCCATCACACTCAACAAGCGCTCCTCCACCTCCCTCCAGCGTTTGGAAGAAAGCCATAAGATGGATGGGTTGAGGAAGATGGAGGATCTTGGGCAAATATTTAATGCAAGTTACATGCAAGACCAAAAAAAGCCCATGAAAGAGCAACCCTAATGGCTTACAAGCCATTAATAAAAGCCTTTTCAAGCCCATCAGGCATTGGCACAACGATAGAGAGTTGGTAGGACCTGCAAACAGCATAGGAAGCAGAGGAAGTTCCGTCTGAAGATGAGGAAGAACTTCTTCCCTCTGAGGGTGACGGAGCCCTGGCCCAGGCTGCCCAGGGAGGCTGTGGAGTCTCCTTCTCTGGAGATATTCCAGCCCCGCCTGGACGCGGTGCTGTGCCGGCGGCACCCCCGCCTGGACAAGGTCCTGTGCAGCCTGCTGTGGGTGACCCTGCTTGGGCAGGGGGCTGGGCTGGGTGACCCACAGAGGTCCCTGCCAACCCCGACCATTCTGTGATTCTGTGAAGATGCAACAGGAGAATTCAAGGAAAGAAAGGGTAATACAAGAAATGCTAAACAGATTATTTTCATCTGCTATGCCATGGGACAGATGACATTTTACAAGGGATTAGTCAGAAAAATTGGCTCCAACTGAAGTGTCGATGTAAAGGCTTTAAAAAAATCAATAAAAAGAAAAATAAAGAAGAGCCAAATGACATTTCTACGAGCTTTCAAGAAACTCAAACACAAAATTGTCTAACTTCTAACCACAGAGTAAAAATGAAAGTTTAGAACAACCTAGCACTGAAGTAAAGAAAGTAGAAAATATCAAAAACCAATACTGAAGATGAAGTCCTGTAAATTCGAAGAGCCACCAGCTGACTTCTCCACTAGGAAAGGTAACAAAGATCAGCACACACATGGATAAATACACCGCATCGCACAAGCAACACGGCTTTGCTGGAGGAAAGCGCATGTCTTGCAAATCCTCATTCTCTCAAAAAAAATGACGAGCACATCAGTACAGGAGATCCAGCAAAGAGAACGGATTTGTACTCTCAGCTTTCAACAAAGCCGCCTCCCGAAGGCCCTCAAAGAAACTCCGCTGTCTCCAGGTAACGGGGAAGCGAGGATATTCTTGCAGATTAAGAAATGATTAAGAGAGGGGCTACAAAAGCAGGAATTAATACTCAGCTGTGTAAGGGAGGAGTATTATCAGCCAGTTCCCAGTTGTGCAGCTCTGTACTGCTGAACATACTCATACGGGGCCTGGAAAAAGATGTGGCGTAAACCCAAGTCGTGACGTTCGGCAAGATCCTTAACTTCTTCATCAATGACTTGGATGAAGAGTCAGAGCATACCCTCAGCAAGTTTGCTGATGGCACCAAACTGGGAGGAGTGGTGGATACACCGGCAGGCTGTGCT